CCTCATCTACCTGGCTCTTCCAAGAGAGGTGACAAGTCAAATGCCTTGAGATGGTGGCCTTACCCTTGTGTATAAAGTTTAAGGTTCTTGATGCCTTAAAAAATAATACTTTTTTTAGGCCGGGCATGGTAGCTCACACCTGTAATCCTAGCACTTTGGGACGCCGAGTTAGGTGGATCATGAGGTCAGGAGTTCAAGACCAGCCTGGCCAATATGGTGAAACCCCATCTCTACTAAAAAATACAAAAATTGACTGGGTGCGGTGGCTCACACCTGCAATCCCAACACTTTGGGAGGCCAAGGTAGGTGGATCACGAGATCAGGAATTCGAGACCAGCCTGGCCAACATGGTGAAACCCTGTCTCTTCTAAAAATACAAAAAATAAATTAGCCAGGTATGCCATGATCTCAGCTCACTGCAACCTCCGCCTTCCGGGCTCAAACTATCCTCCCACCTCAGCCTCCTGAGCAGGTGGGACTACAGGCACATGCCGCCATGCCCAGCTAATTTTAAAAATTTTTTGTAGAAACAGGGTCTCCCTGTATTCCCCAGGCTGGTCTTAAACTCCTGGGCTCGGGCATTCCCCCTGCCTCGGCCTCCCAAAATGCTGGGATTACAGGCATGAGCCACCATGCCCAGCCCTTTTAGAAATACATATATATGTATATATGTGTGTGTGTATGTGTATGTGTGTGTATATAGGGTGCGTCATAGGTAAGTATCATTCACACCAACTTGCAAGCCCAACAGTAGTGGGATTGTTGACATCTTCACTAACACTTGATATTTACAGATTTTAACATTTTTATTTTATTTATTTATTTTATTTTTTGCCAACCTGTAAAGCACTAACTCACTGCAGATTTAAAATGTAGCTTAGGCTGGGCATGGTGGCTCATGCCTGTAGACCCAGCACTTTGGGAGGCCAAGGTGGGCGGATCTCGAGGTCAGGAGATCGAGACCATCCTGGCTAACACAGTGAAACCCCGTCTCTACTAAAAAAAGGACAAAAAAAATTAGCCGGGCGTGGTGCAGGCGCCTGTAGTCCCAGCTACTCGGGAGGCTGAGGCAGGAGAATGGCGTGAACCCAGGAGGCGAAGCTTACAGTGAGCCGAGATTGGGCCACTGCACTCTAGCCTGGGCGACAGAGCGAGACTCCTCAAAAAAAAAAAAAAAGAAAAGAAAAAAACAAAACTAATTTAGTCTTCTGCCTCCTGGTGTTGCTTCTGTGCTTGTTTAGTTGGATCTGGTACTGTTACCGCAACATGACCGCAATTCTTTTTTTTTTTTTTTTCCAGATGGAGTCTCGCTCTGTTGCCCAGGCTAGAGTGCAGTGGTGTGATCTGGGCTCACTGCAATCTCCACCTCTAGGGTTCAAGCGATTCTTATGCCTTAGCCTCCCAAATAGCTGGCACTACAGGTACATGCCACCATGCCTAGCAAATTTTTCTGATTTTATTTTTTTCAGACGGAGTCTTGCTCTGTTGCCCAGGCTGGAGTGTAGCAGCTCGATCTTGGCTCACTGAAATCTCCACCTCCCAGGTTCAAGCGATTCTCCTGCCTCAGCCTCCCGAGTAGCTGGGACTATAGGCGCCCGCCACCACGCCCAGCTAATTTTTTGTATTTTTAATAGAAACAGGGTTTCGCTGGGCAGAGACCAGCTGCCCAGGCTGGTCTGAACTCCTGACCTCAAGTGATCTACCCACTTCAGCCTCCCAAAGTGCTGGGACTACAGGCATGCATCACCATGCCTAGGCAACTTTTTGTATTTTTAGTAGAGTCAGGGCTTCATCATGTTTGCCAGGGTGGTCTCTAACTCCCAGCCTCAGGCATTCTGCATGCCTTCGACTCCCAAAGTGCTGAGATTACAGGCGGGGGCCACTGCATTGGCCCTCAATTCTTTCAGGAAGCCCCAAAACCTGTGAAATGAACCATCCTCCCAGCTGTGCTTGCTTACAGAAACAAAGGCCAGGTGCCAATAATCAGGAACCAGCCACAAGATGAACTGAACTCAGCAGTGCTGCCTTGACCTGAATTACTGCTTCACTGTTATACTAAAATCTCCACCCAGTGCGGAGAAGTGTACCCAGGTAAGCACAAACAGTACCAGGTGCAAAAAGAATCTACACACTCCAGCTGCTCCTGGAAGAATCCATCCAGGAATGCCTACCCTAGTCTTCACCTATCTGCCCAGAAAGCCCTTAAGATCCCCCTTTACCCAATGTCCAGGAGGTGCTTTGAGCAGAAGCTCCTCTTTTCCATTCCTTGACCAGTGAACGTTTCTGCTCTGCTTTACTGAACCCGGTTCCATTCTATTGGCAAGAACTGCACTGGGTGGGTCAAGTGACCCTCCCTTGAGGGCGGTAACAGTACCCGCTTTGTGAAGCAGCAGCTGCAGAGATTCTGGTGCTTGCCATGGCCATGGAAGCTCAAGGAAGAAGACTGAGAACAACGATCATATTTATTTGAAGGTGGTGTGGCAGGATAGTTCTGTAGCACAGTTTAAGAGGCGTATACCACCTGGTAAACTGATGAGAGCCTATTGTGAATAACAGGGTTTGTCAATGAGGCAGATCAGATTCAGATTTGACGGGCAGCCAATCAATGAAACAGACATACCTGCACAGCTGGTAATGGAGGATGAATACACAATTGATGTGTTTCTGCAGGAGACAGGTGTCTACTAAAAGAGGAACCTACTACTTTACTCCAAACCTCTGTTCTTACAGACCAAGACTATATCCTCAATTAGAAAACTGCAATTTGGTTTCACTACATCCTGACCAATACAGTATAGTTCTATTTCATTTTCACCTTCTCCTTTCCTTTGTTGTACATACGGTAACGGGTGTGTGTGTACCAGCATGTTGCATTTGTGTTTTTGTTTGCTTTTTGTAAAATGGCCAAAGGTGTGTTCTGATTACTGCTTCAGAACAAGTGGAGATGAGATTTCTGGGTGACAGAGCGAGACTCTTCAAAAAAAAAAAAAAAAAAGAATCAAAAAAGGACATCAAGTGGAGATGGGACTGGGAAAATACTGGTTCTGTGAAAATACCCCCTTTCTCCATTCGTAGCATGCTCATTCAGCTCTTATCTTTTTTTTCATATATTTTAGACGGAATCTTGCTCTGTTGCTCAGGCTGGAGTGCAGTGGTGTAATCTTGGCCCACTGCAGCCTCCGCCTGCCAGGTTCAAGCAGGACTACAGGCATGTGCTACCACATTTGGCTTTTTTTTTTTTTTTTTTTTTTTTTACAGAGTCTCACTCGGTCACCTAGGCCGAAGTGCAGTGGTGTGATCTCAGCTCACTGCCACCTCTGCCTCCTGGGTTCAAGTGATTCTCCTGCCTCAGCCTCCCAAGTAGCTGCGACTACAGGTGTGTGCCACCACGCCCAGCTAATTTTTGTATTTTTGGTAGAGACAGGGGTTTCACCATGTTGGCCAAGCTGGTCTCGAACTCCTGACTTCAAGTGACCCACCCGCCTTGGCCTCCCAAAGTGCTGGGATTACAGACATGAGCCACTGCACCCCACTCAGTTCTTATCTCTATATTCCAGTAAGTTATATTTTGCTCTGTTTTAACTAAAAAATGACAACATAAAAATCCTTCCATACTTCATTCAACTGAAGAATTTTAATGTTTTTCATTTATCATTGTAAAAACCAAGGACAATTGTATAACTTAAAAAAAACCTTCTAATCAATGGATGATTTTTGTACATAGCTTTCACATGCAGGGTAATCTGTCTTTAAGTAGGGATAGATTACTTAAAAATAAACCAAATCATGCCTCACTGCAACCTTGACTTTCTGGGTTCAAGCAATCCTCCCAGCTTGGCCTCCCAAAGTGCTGACATTACAGGCGTGAGCCACTGTGTCTACAAAGTTTTGTGGTTTAGATAAATTTGGTTAAAATGAAAAAAAGTAAAATTTAATTTGTATTTCCTGGATTTCTAATAATGATGTACTGGGCATCATGTTATATGTTTATTGGTCATTTGTATTTCCTCTTTTGGGAAGGGCCTATTCAAGTCAGTTACCCCTGTTTTTTCCATTGTTCATCTTTTTCTCACTGAGTTGTAGGAGCTCCTGGGCATTAATCTTTTGTCAGTTTTGTTGTTGTTGTTTGTTTGTTTTTTGAGACGGAGTCTGGCTCTGTCGCCCAGGCTGGAGTGCAGTGGCCGGATCTTAGCTCATTGCAAGCTCCGCCTCCCGGGTTCACGACATTCTCCTGCCTCAGCCTCCAGAGTAGCTGAGACCACAGGCGCCCCCCACTACGCCCGGCTAATTTTTTGTATTTTTAGTAGAGATGGGGTTTCACTGTGTTAGCCAGGATGTTCTGGATCTCCTAACCTCGTGATCCGCCCGCATTAGCCAGGATGGTCTCGATCTCCTGACCTCGTGATCCGCCCGTCTCGGCCTCCCCAAGTGCTGGGATTACAGGCTTGAGCCACCGCGCCCGGCCTTTTATTTTCTAGAAAACCAATCACAGGCCAGGTGCGGTGGTTCACGCCTGTAATCCAAGCCCTTTGGGAGGGCGAGGCGGGTGGATCACCTGAGGTCAGGGGTTGCCACGAGCCTGACCAACATGGAGAAACCCCGTCTCTACTAAAAATACAAAATTAACCAGGCGTCGTGACGCATGCCTGTAATCCTACCTACTCAGGAGGCTGAGGCAGGAGAATCGCTTGAACCGGGAGGCGGAGGTAGCGGTGAGCTGAGATGGCGCCACTGCACTCCAGCCTGGGCAATAAGAGCGAAACTCCATTTCAAAACAAACAAACAAAAAAACACCAATCACAACAAGGCAGATAAAGAATGATGAGTTGTCAGATTTTGATACCTGCGAATGAGGGGCGTGGACGCACGATTGGGAACTTGCAGCCGCTTATTGGTGACTGGTGCGGGGGAAGTTGTTTCATTTGCCCCAGGTGTTGCCCAGTGACCTCCGGCACGTGCGCCGCGTCTGTCCAGCTGCGCGGGAAGCTCAGGGGAGGGAGGGCCAGGTTCCATCCATTCAGTCCCTCCATACCTGGCATCCAGCCAAGCGCGCGGTTCCTTTACAGACTTTCCTGCAGGTCCACAGAAATGCAAGGATCCGCCGCTGTGCTGGAATCAGAGTCTGGGAGGGGGAATGAGCAGTGCACCCGGGATGGTATTTTAGTTGTTGTCTTCAGGGCTAGCCCCGAGCCTCGTGCCCCGGCCTCCTCAGCCCTTACGGAATCTCTGGAGCGCGTGTCTTGACGAAGGGAAGTGGGGCCCCGCTGAAGCTGTCGAGGTGTCTCTGAGGGGGGTGGGCTGGGGCCTGGAGAAGCCTCCATTTGCTCTGGGCTCTGCCTGGCAGGGACTTTGGAACCTGGCCTGCAGAGTTGCAAGAAGCGGGCGCGGGGGCAACACGCGCGCGGGGAAGCAGGAAGATCACAGGCTGCAAAGAAAACAGCACTGAGCGTCCTGGAGGACGCTGGAGCTTCAGGATAGTGTCCTTTCAGACCGTGGGATCGTCCCTTCCTCCCCGCACTCCACCTTCCCGCAACTGGACCACTCGGCGGAAGCTTCAGGTGGGCCCCGGGGTCCAAGTCCGCCGCCGGGAGGGCGGGGACGGGCCCCGAAACGCGGACTGCAGGGCGCGTCACGGCAGCTGCTCCTGATTGGCGGCCACGGCGGCCATGGGCGGGGCGCCCCGGGATTGGCGCCGCCTGTGGCCAGAGCCAGAGTAACGGGACTCCCAGCTGTGCGTCGCAGTCCCGACGCCAGGAAGGCTGGAGTCGGCGCCCAGCCTAGAGCCACCAAGTGGGAGCCAGGGCGGGACGCGCGCACCATGCCCTACCTGCTCATCAGCACCCAGATCCGCATGGTGAGTACCGGCCGCCCGGCGACTTGGAGCCAGGACCAGGCCCTAGGGAGCTGCGACCGCGCCTTCATGCCTCTCTCCTGGGCTGCACCCACCGGGGGCTGGACCGGGAACCCGCCCAGACACGCCCCTTTGGCGGGGGAGAGGGAGTGGAGAAGCTGGTTCAGCCTGGCTCCCGGGACTCAGCGAGCTCTGGCCGGCCCGGAGCCTTTATTGCCGCGAAAGGGCCCCGGTACGTGCGTCCCGGCAACAGGGCCACCTCCGGGCGCTTCCGGCTCCTGTCCTACCTGTCGGCGGGAGGGACCCAGGGAGCCCCGGCTTCACGCGCAGCACCCAGTGCCCTGCACAGAGCCGCTCCGCAGGGGAAAAAAGGGGGAATAACCTGAGGGAAAGAAGTTTGGAAAAGATAAGGACGTGCCAAGGCGCTAAAACCCCTGTGCCAAGTCCTTGACCCATAAACAGCAACTAGCTGCACCCTTAGGCGCTTCCAGGAAGGGCTATCCCTGAAGCTTTAGGAAAGGAAGAAAAGAAAGAACCCCCTGCTTGGGAAAAAAGGAAGGCGAGAAGGGGCCGTGCAGTTGGAGGTGGGAACACCATGAATTCGAAGTCATGTTCCTTTCTCTGGGCGCAGTTTCCTTATCTGTAAAAAGGTTCTGATTGCCCCTCAGAAGTCTCCTTTTAGCTTCAGAAAGATACGACTCTGCCCCCAGATGGGCAGCAAGGTGCTCCTCTGCCCCTGCCCACTACGGGTACACAACCCCCTTGGTGGGTTCACCACGCAACAGGAGAGCTCTTGCAGAGCGCTGGGCAGCGGTTTGTGAAGCAGCCATCTGCGCAGCTATCAAAATGTGGATTCCTGGGTCCCTTCCCAGATCTCCCAAAACTCTGGGGCTTGGGAATCCATACTTGGAAATAGCCTCCAGATGTGATTCTTGTTTTTCAAAGACATGTCTTTATTGATATGTAATGTGCATACCATAAATTCTTTGATTTAAAGTGTACAATTCAGTGTTTTTTTAGTGTACTCAGAGTTGTGCAACCATCACCATAATCAGTTTTAGAACTTTTTTTTTTTTTTTTTTTGAGACGGAGTCTCGCTCTGTTGCCCAGACTGGAGTGCAGTGGCACAATCTCAGCTCACTGCAAGCTCCCTCTCCTGGGTTCAGGCCATTCTCCTGCCTCAGCCTCCCGAGAAGCTGGGACTACAAGCGCCCGCCACCATGCCTGGCTAATTTTTTTTCTATTTTTAGTAGAGATGGGGTTTCACTGTTTGCCAAGATGGTCTCGATCTCCTGACCTCGTGATCCGCCCGCCTCGGCCTCCCAAAGTGCTGGGATTACAGGCGTGAGCCACCGCACCCGGCTAGAACATTTCTAATACCCCAAAAGGAAACCCTGTACCTACTGGCAGAAACTCGTGATTTCCCCCAAGTCCCTCAGCCCTAGATAACCACTAATTACCTTTCTGTGGTAATGTGATCTGTGTCTGGCTTCTTTCATTTACATAATGTTTATTTTGTTTTTTTAAAATGGAGTCTCACTCTGTCGCCCAGGCTGGAGTGCAGTGGTGCAATCATGGCTCACTGCAGCCTCAACCTCCTCCCACTTCAACTGATCCTCCCATCTCAGCCTCCCGAGTAGCTAGGACTATAAGGCTGAGCTTTAAGGGACTAGGGAAGGCCCCTACATCGCTCCTCCTGATCATTGGTGGGCTCCACCCCTTCGCAGCTTGTGCTCAGCCCCTAAGGATTCTTGCTACTCTCTGTGGCCTTTATCTGAAGCTCACTCGGGACTAGCAGGCAGGGGAGGAAGGAGACGCAAAACCTTCTACCTCCTCCTGGCAGCCAGCCAAGCAGCCACTGTGGCTTACCTTGCAGGAGGTGGGCCCCACTATGGTGGGTGATGAACAGTCGGATCCAGAGCTGATGCAGCATCTGGGGGCTTCAAAGAGAAGTGTCTTGGGAAACAACTTGTAAGTAGCAGCCTCCCTCAGTATCCTCTCCCTGCCAGCCCCTATACCTGCCTCTGCTCCCTTTACACAACCTCCAAGCCCAGGGACAGGGCCCAACATCAGAGCCCCTGCCTGCATCCTGGGGCTCTGTTCTCCGGAGGAGTTGGTCCCATCTGTAGCCTCTCCAACATTCCCCCTCTCCTCCATGAGGCTTGCTCTGAAAGCTTTCCACATCCTTACTGGAAGCGCAGAAAACAGTCTGTTCCCTGGGTCTAGGACTCCACTAGCGGACTGTTGCTTGCCCTGCCCTCTCCTCTCTAAGCTGGACCCCATCAAGCCCAGACAGGCACAGAGAGAAAGGTTTTTGTAGTGAGGATCTGGCTGAGTCGCAAAGCTAAGTCCTAGAAGCAGGGAGCCGGGAGCCTGGGTCCTACCTCCAGGGTGGCTGCTGCCTGGGGACCTGGCCATTTCCCTTGGCATCCTTCCTAATGCCTCCATGTCTAAACTGTGACCACTGCTTCCATTCTTCCTCTCACCCCTGGAGGCAGGGAGAACCCAGGCTACACAGGCTCTCTGCAAAGACTTGCCGGAGTGCGTCCCAGTTCAAAGAGGGGAAAGAGAAGGAGGGCTGATCCCAGCCCCTGGGTCAAGGCTGGGGGAAAGAAGCCAGCCCCCTCCCTTTGCCATGAGGCACCTGCCTCTCCATGCCCAGCTTGGGGCTTGAGCCCTTTGTCTGCTTCATGGTCCTTCGGCATCAATTAAACCTGAAAGGACCCCAGCATTATCCATGCTAGGGAGTGGCACACAGAGCCAGGCGTTACTGGGGCTCAGCCTTGTTGCTTCAGAACTGCAGGACAGCCAGTGAGGGGCCTGGAGGCTTATTTTGTTTTGTTTTGAGACGGAGTCTCACTCTGTCGCCCAGGCTGGAGTGCAGTGGCCGGATCTCAGCTCACTGCAAGCTCCGCCTCCCGGGTTTACGCCATTCTCCTGCCTCAGCCTCCCGAGTAGCTGGGACTACAGGCGCCCGCCACCTCACCCGGCTAGTTTTTTGTACTTTTTAGTAGAGATGGGGTTTCACCGTGTTAGCCAGGATGGTCTCGATCTCCTGACCTCGTGATCCGCCTGCCTCGGCCTCCCAAAGTGCTGGGATTACAGGCTTGAGCCACCGCGCCCCGCCTGTTTTGTTTTTTTGAAATGGAGTCTCACTCTGTCACCCAGGCTGGAGTGCAGTGGTGCAATCATGGCTCACTGCAGCCTCAACCTCCTCCCACTTGGAGGCCTGGGTGGGGAGCAAGCCCAGGGAGGGGAGGCAGCAGGGCTGTGGTCAGACTAACACGGTCTACCATCTGGGACGCTGGGGAACCTGCTTAACCCCTGTTTTCTCATGTATCAATGGCCACAACAGTGGCACCTTCACTAGCTTGTTGGAAATAAATGAGATAGCTCGTGAAGTACCTAGAAGGGGAGGAGGCAGGGGGCGTGCACTTACCCAGCCAGCAAGTGTGAGTCACTACAAGAGTGGCCAGGCCGCCTGCCGCAGACACTAGCTTTGGACCAGGAGCTTGCTGTGTGCCCCTCCTCACCCCACCCATTCTGTCTCTTTGCAGTTATGAATACTACGTCAATGACCCTCCCCGCATAGTCCTGGACAAGCTGGAACGCAGGGGCTTCCGTGTGCTGAGCATGACGGGGGTGGGTCAGACGCTGGTGTGGTGCCTGCACAAGGAGTGACCTTCTCACGCTGATTTGCAGCCGGGGCGCCCCTGTGGAGGGGCTGCTGTGGGCCCTGAACTCCAAGCTCCTGCCTGACTGACCACCTTGCCCCTCTCTTCCCAAATCGTCACCGCCATGGGCCCAGCCCCAACAGGCAGTGAATGGCCTTCTCTGAAACCTTGCCTCAAGCAGTGGGAGAGGGCAGTGCCAGGTGCTCCCAGCTGCCCTCCTGCTTCGGGCCTGGGCCAAGGGCCTTGGGCAGGCCATGTTCCTTGGGCAGCTGCCCCGGGCCGGAGCTGGGCACCCCAGGGGCCCTGGTGCGTGACTCCTGCATAGCTAGCCCAAGCCAATAAAGGGCAGTGATGAGTGGCTGCGCCTGTGCTCTGCTTGTGCACGGACTCTGGGACTCTCACCATGCAGAGTGTTTCCCTAGGGGTCTGCCCACTTCCTGGGAGGGGCACCAGGCCTGGGTGGAACCGTCTGCCGCAGAGCCCAGCACCCTATACCTATGCATGGAATAGAACTAAAGTCTTAAAAAAAAATTTATTGGTGACGTTGAAGAAAAGGGCTGAGGGATGGGTGGCTGGAGCCAGGGCTACGTGGGCGGCCCCTCCTGGTCCTCCTGCTGCATCCTTGCGATCAGCTGTTGCCGCTCAGCCGCCTGGCGCATGCGCATCATGACGAGACTCTCATAGTCCCTCTCTGACAGTACTGAGCCCTGTTGGACAGAGCAGGGATGGAGAAGGGTCAGGGACGGCAGGGCACAGCCCCACAGACTCCAGACTCCAGACTCCGAGGACGGTGCCGAGGCAGAGCTGTGGTCTAAGAGTCTCAGAGGGAGGAAAGCAGAGGAAGGGAAGGAACCTGGAGCATCCTTCTGGAATCCTGGCTTACCTGTGACCCACAGAACAAGTCACCTGTGGCCTCCAGGCCGGCTTCTACCCAGCCAGCTCCCCCTCCCTTTCCCTAGGCCCCGTCAGCTCTGGTCCATCTGTTTTCCAGGAATCACCTGTGGGCCCTCTAGCTAGGCCCTCGTCTCCTTCATTTCCTCTGGGCCCTTTATCCTTCACCCCTTTCCCTCTACCCCATGGCTTCTGCCTCTTAGGTTCCCAAGGAAGGGAAGTTGAGGTGCAGGGATGCACCTGGCTCTGCTGGGCAGTGACCCCGGCTCTGTCCATGCCCGGTGCCCTGTGGTCTGGCTCCTGCTGAGGATGCAGAAGGGAGCCCTACCCGAGACAGCCCGGAATGCCCCGCCCTCGAAGGGGAGAAGGGCAAGCATGAGACCAGCGTGCCTCTAAAACTACACACCAGGGCTCCTGGAGGGCAGGGCCCATGGCTCAAAGCTTTTATGAACTTGCCAGCACAGTGCAGGAGATTAAGGAATGCTGTATTTACATAATCAAAAGAATAATAAACAACCGTCTGAATGGGCCAAGGCTGTAGGGTGGAGAAGCAGCTCTACAGTGGGGCCTAGGCTGCCAACCCACACCCTGATAAGGTCTGCGGTGGGAATTAAACCTTTTCCTCCCTCAGTGCCGCTTAGGCTGTGTGATGATCATGTGGTCCCAACAGCTTCTCAGAGAAGTGTGAAGCCCACCTGAGATGGCAAAGAAGTGAGCTAGGCCAGGGATTGCAGGATGCGGTGGCCTGCCCATAGCAGAGAGCTGTGGGGCCCTGATCCGCGGTACCCCACATGGGGATGCTCTCACGGAACAAGGCAGGAGGAAAATGTGGTGGTCAGTGACCCGGGGAATAGGAAGGGAGCGGCTGGGATTGAGATGCCAGGCCCGGGCCAGCAGGTTTGGAGTAAGGGGTGTAGAGAAACAGGAAGTGTTACTCAGCCTGGGTTCCCCTGCTCCTCCCGATAGCTGCACCTCTCCCCTCTCCCCTCTGCCCGGCTGCAGCAGTCCCAGCTAGGCCGGACTGTTCAGTGTGGCCCAGAGCACGGCTGACAATTCACAGCAGCCTCCCTGGCCCAGCTTCCCGCAAGAGAAGGAGGACCCTAGAGGAGGCCGGATAGCCAGAGGGGAAGGGCTGGAGCACGGCCAGGCAGCAGGCAGCATGGCCCGGCCCTCAACTGCCGCTCTCCTGGCAGGAGCCTATGAGGGTAAAACAAGGGAGGACAAGGAAATAGCAGCCAGGCTGATGGCAGGCCAAGAGAAGGCCACGTCTCCCGTCCCCAGGTTAATGCTGCTCTGCCAAGAAGACTTGGAGCCACCCTTGGCGGGCCCCCAGCCCAACCCTAGGCAGCAGAGCCCGCCCGTCACACGCATGGGGCTGTTCCCCGTTAACACACCCTCTGCCTCCTTCCCTGATCCCGCAGGTTCTGCTCATGAGGGCCTGACAGCAGGGCTGAGTCACCCACACCAGCCACAGGTCTCTTCCTTCCCCAACAATCGTTCCACACGCCTGCCTTTCAATTAACTCCCACCCGCCCTGAACTCCTCCTACCCAGACACTATGGGCCGGGAGCCAGGCGCACCTGCCGGGGCCCAGGGTGGTGGGGCTGTGATGAGAAAGGAAGCCGCGTGGTGACACATAAAGCAGGGCTGCCCCCACATGAGTCCCCAGAGGAATTTTAAGCTCCCCATTGCCCTGGGGTGTTGGTCCCAGCTGCCCCATCCCTGCACGCGGATGCTGCAATTACCCAAGAGCATGAAACCTGGCTTCCCACCTGACTGAGTCAGCTGAGAACAAAAACACATCTCCACCGCCACAAACAGCCAAGCCACTAATCAGAGTCCGGGAGCCACTGGCAGAGAGGGCACGGCCCCACACTGCCCCAGAGACGCATAGGAGCCAGGCAAACACCAGGGCGAGTGAGCTCGGGCCATCTGCTGCCTGCCTGTGGAAGGAGCGCTCGCCAGCCTCACCTGGCCCGAGAAGGTCCATCTCTGCCTCCGCTGGGGCTGCCTCATTCTGACTCCAGTAAGTGCTGCTGCTTCCACCTGGGGTTTTTCCACTGCTCTATTCAGTAACCCGGCCACTCCTGTCCCTGTGGGAAACTCCTGCTGCCAGGAACTCCCAGCTGTGTGCTCTCCTAGACAAAAAAGTTCCTTCTTCCTGAGCCCTCCACTCACCATCCAAGATGTGGTCAAAGGTCTGTGCTGAGCGGAAACCCCAAGGCCTCTGCTCCTAGGGCAGCCTCCCCAGCTGCTGGCACTCACTGCCCCAGCAGGGACCGCATGCAACCTGGCTGCTCCTGAACACCTGTCTGCGGGCTCCCCTGGGCCCCATGGAGACCTGGCGGAAAGGCTCCTTCCGCAACGCCTCCTTCTTCAAGCGGCTGAGCCTGGGGCGGCCACGGCGGCTCCGGCGACAGGGCAGTGTGCTTAGCCAGGCCAGCACAGCGGGTGGGGACCACGAGGAGTATAGCAACCGAGAAGTCATCCGGGAGCTACGAGGGAGGCCAGATGGCCGGCGCCTGCCACTGTGGGGGGACGAGCAGCCCCGGGCCACCCTGCTGGCCCCACCCAAGCCCCCACGCCTCTACCGAGAGAGCTCAAGCTGCCCCAACATCCTGGAGCCCCCACCTGCCTACACAGCAGCCTACTCTGCCGCCCTGCCATCGGCGCTCTCCCTGTCGAGCGCCCTCCACCAGCACTCAGAGAAGGGCCTTGTGGACACTCCCTGCTTCCAGAGGACACCTGCCCCAGACCTCAGTGATCCCTTCCTCTCCTTCAAAGTGGACCTGGGGATTTCACTTCTTGAGGAAGTTCTGCAGATGCTAAGGGAGCAGTTTCCCAGCGAGCCCAGCTTCTGAATGGGGTGAGGGTGGGCAAAGCCGGGGTGACTGGAAGAGCCAGAGGCTGGGGATTAAGGAAAGGGCAGGGACAGGACTCCAGGCCCATCGCTGGAGGGTTCAGGCAGGCAGAGCTCCTCCATCCTGGGGGAGGATTCCAGGATAGGAATCCAGGGCTCTGCCTGCTCTCTGGGTCCTGAAGCGTCCTCCCAGGCACCCCAGAGTGGAGGGACAGAGGCAAGCTGGAAATGTTGAGGAGGGGGGCCCCTTCCTGGCAGGACCCCTGAAGGAAGCTGGCTATTCTGGGAAAGGGAGGCTATGTGTGGCAACCACAGGAACCAGGTAGAGACTGGCAGAGCCAGCAGGTGGCACGGGGTCAGATCAGGGAGTGGGAGGACACAGACTGGGCAGAAGAGATGAGTGCCCTGTGCCAGCCTCTTTGGAAGCCAGCGTCAACAGAGAGAGGTCACAGGACAAGCCTGGGTAAAAGCAGTCCAACCCTGGCGGAAGAGGAAAGTGGGAAGGCCCAGGAAGAAAGGGGAGAAAGGCCTGACCCTGTCTAATCTGGTGGCCACTCACTGCATGACACCGAATTGAAATTAAATAACAATTCAGTTCCTCACTTGCACCATTATTCCAGATTCCACATTCCAAACGGCTGGTGGCCACACATGATTAATGGCTGCCACACTGGTTGGTGCAGAATGGACGCGAACATCGCTGCACAAAGTTCTACTGGACAGCGCTGGCTAGACCGTGGCCTGGAGCCACCAGCAAAGGGGAGACGCATACAGGGGCTGGCCACATAGGAAGAGATAGGTAGAGATAGTGTAACTTAGGAAAAGACTAGGCCAATCCTTAGCAGAAATGAGGATGTGGTTCAGTCTGCCAACACAGCTACCTGGAGCAATCCCTGGTGAAGGCAGCTCTAGAGAATGCCAGCCAAAGGCACGCGCACGGCTTACAAAGGGGTGCTTTGGGGAATTCCCAGAATTATTAGTGTGGGAGCCCTGGCAGATTTCCTTCCTTGAAGAGAGGAGAACTGGATCCAGGGATGGGCATTCAACGGCGAAGCAGCACAGCTGGTCTCCAGACCTGTCTCCCAGGATTAGAGAGTTCTGCCGCCTGAACCCTCTGACGATGTGCCTGCCAACCAGGCCAAGCCCACCGGGTCAAAGCCACAGCACAGGCTGCGCTATGGCCCCACCCCATGGCCTCACCAGAACACAGAAACCAGAGCCCAGCAGCACTGGCAGGGCTGTGTGTTGGTGGCCCCCAGGCCTCACTAAGAGTAGCAAAGGGGAGAGGAAGCTCTGACACTCACCATTTCTACAACCCAAATCGGCGGCCTCCCTCTCTCCTCTTGTGTATAGGCACCGAGCTGTGGCTACAGCAGAGAATGAATAAACTTCTAACACAATCTATGGAGTGTTATCTGGGGCTGTGAAATGCTGGGACTTGAAGGTGGGAATGAGGTCTCTAAAGCAGGGCCCTGAGTCAGGCCCAGGCCAGTTTGTTTCCCTCCATCCAGGATCTGGGACATACTTGCAGAAAGCTGCTTTCCAGTCACCCCCGTCAAGTGGAGGGGCAGGCAGGGCAGCAGGCTGGCGTGGGTAAGGTAATGAGCAGCCTCCTGCCAGCCTGCCGAGGGGCTGTGGACACACCAGCCAGGCCCTAGGCCACTGCAGAGAAGGGGAGAACCAGGTTGCTAGATCTTGCCCCCAAAGCAATCTGTTCAACCAAGGTGGGGACAGGTGTGGCCAGGAGCCCCAAAGCCCCAACCTTTGTATCCAGGCCAAAAGCCACCAGGGCCATGGTTGTGGGTCGGAGGTTACACACAAGCTGGAAGGTCTACGCTTCACCTCAGGCAGGGGACCCAGACTCTGGGCAGGCAGCACTCTGTGTCAGCAGGGTAGCCAAGGTTACTTTTCTTTTTTGAGATGGAGTCTCGCTCCGTTGCCCAGGCTGGAGTGCAGTGGCGCGATCTCGGCTCACTGCAAGCTCCGCCTCCCAGGTTAAAGCAATTCTCCTGCCTCAGCCTCCTGAGTAGCTGGGATTACAGATGTGCACCAACATGCCCAGCTGATTTTTGTGTTTTTGTAGAAATGGGGTTTCACTATGTTGGTCAGGCTGGTCTTGAACTCCTGACCTCAGGTGATCCGCCCCCCTCGGCCTCCCAAAGTGCTGGGATTACAGGCGTGAGCCACTGCACCCAGCCTGCCAGGGTTACTTCTAAGAGGAGACATTGCCTCTTGACAGTCGGTCCCTGTCTGGGGCAGCCAGGGACATACCCGGAAAATTGAAGTGCTGGGAAGGAAGTGGCTGCCCTAGTCACCTGCCCCTTCTCTGCAGCACTGGGTCGTCTAAGCTCCAAATGCTTCACACACCACAACCAAGCAACCTGAGGGTCAGGAAGATCCCTTTGGTGAGAAGGAGAGTCCCAACAGGAGACCAGATACGGAGAGAAAGCAAGGTCTAAGAATACAGTGTGGGTGGGGCCTCTTTGGCCCTCAGAGAGGAAAAGGGGTCAAGGTGAAATCATAGCCCCTTTTGCCTGGGTTGGTGGACCTGCCAAGCTCACTCTAGGACCCAAGACCTGAATTTGGGAGGAAAGAGCCTGAGAGGAGCCCAGGTAGGAGGAAGAGCTCCGAGACCTGAGTGTCCAGCCGGGCGAGGCCTGACTCCTCACCTTTGACAGTCCTGAGTAGCTGTGGCCCACGGCACCCTGGGGCTGTCCCTCCAACCAGGAAATCTTCAGAGGGTTATCCACCAGGCCAACTTCATTCTGGACAGCCAGCTCCTGCCAAACACAGCATCTAGTCCTGTCCCATCCATCGAGTCAGCTATAAAGAGGCTGTCTCTACCCCCAGCGAGAACAGAACCAGCGTTCTAGCCCTCTAAGCAGAGATGCCAACCTCAGCAGTCTTCAAGTGACGGGCGTTAACACTTTGGCCTTTCCTGCGGGAGAGGGGGTTGGGGGGAGCTTTCTGATGTGGGGCGGTGAGGAGCACAAAGGGTGAAAAGGCAGTGCCGGGGCTCACAGCCCCGAGGGGTGCAGGTGGAGGGTGTGAAGCCACCAGCAGGGAGCAGAGTCAAGTCTGTGCTCTCCTTTCTCCCCAGAGCACCCCCCATCCATCCCTTTACACATGGTGCCTCTATTTCCAGGAGTCAGGGGCCCCTGGGAGGAGCCTTGGCTCTAAGCTGGCCCGGAGATTCCCCAGGAGTGTGGACCACCTAACTCAGAGGGCCCACAGAATTGGGTCCCTGCCCCAGAATGACAGGGCCACGAGGGCCCCCCAAGCCTCATGCAGCACTCACCGCCGCCTTGACAGTTGCAAACTCCACCACAGCAGTGCCTGGCTTCTTACTGGAAAGCACCAGGTTGAGAACCTCGCCATACTGTGGGGACAAAGGGGTCCTAATGAGCATGACTTGGACTTCAGGATGGCCCAGGTCATGCCAGAGACAAGCCTGGGCTACCTTGAAGTCCATGGGGCTTTTTCTGTTGGGAGATAACTTCTTGCCCCACCTACTTATCTTAGTGAAGTGAGATCAGAGATAGGAAAGAAATTTTTTTCTAGGAACACAGAGCAGCAAAGGAATGATGAGCAAAGCCCTGGTGACTTAGACTGACATATTTCATGCACAGCGTCCTTGCTGGTTGAACGTGGTGAAAAGTTTTTGTGCCCGATACCCACCTCATCCCTCCCAACCCACTCAGCCAAGCTCTTTGCTTCTAAGGGTAAGGGTTAGACTGAGGTAGCAAAGGACGGAGGGCTGGAAGGGAGCACATGGCCACACAAGTGAAAGGAGGGCTGTAGCCTGGGGAGAAGTCTTTAGGTCATCCCATGGTCTACAAGACAGGAAAAAAAAAAAAAAAGCAGGTAGATATGTTAAGGGAAGTTCAGGCATTGAGAGCAGAGGCCTAGGGTGTGGGCTGAGATGTGGACTGAGACGATAGGAAAGACGGGACGTCAACAGGGCAGACCTTTTGCAAAAGCCGTAGGAGGACGTCTTTGGAGTAGCCACTTTTTGACTCATCCTCCTTCTTGCACTTCCATTTTAGCTGAAAAGACAGACTCATGAAACACCGATTCTTGGCTGAACAGTACCTCACCCCACGACAGCTTGACAGTCTGAGCAGACATCCTCCCACCCTCCAAGTCTCCAAGGCTCCTGCAATCTAGGGAGTGCCAGCAGAAACATTTTCCCGGTGGGAACTTGTAGGCAGGATGGCCTGCTCACCCCAGGGACGCTTCCCGCCCAGGAAGACCCTCTCCTGAGAGGGCTTCTAGGGAATGCTCTGCCCTGTGATCAGGGCTAAAAGCAGCCTTTGGTGGCAAGCTCTGGTCTCCAGGTGGCTGGAACATGGAGGGAGGTGGTAATGGTGCTGGCTCCACGCAGATCCAGTGGCCCCACCAGAAACCCTCAAGCCACAGGAAGCATCTATTCCTGCTGAGAGGAGGTGGTGAGTGTGAGGCGGCCCACGGACCCTGCCCAGGCTCACCTTTAGTTTGGGGGTTCCTTGGCCTTCAGTATTTTCTGCCTTTCCTAGAAATATTGGGAAAAGAAGAAAAGTAGAGTATGTCAGAGTCTCCCAAAGGAGATGCAGCCCAGAGCCAGAAGGGTCTGGAAAGGGTCACTCCTGACCAAGGGGTGCCCAATACCTGCCCAGCACTGGTGAGGGCCTGGTGGGGAAAGTAGATGCCCATCCCCAGAAAAGCTGCCACCCCAGGGTGGTCTACCCAGCTGCCTCCTGAAGGCCACCTGTCAGCACTCTCTGAATGGAGAGCTAGGAACACCTTCTAGGGGCAGGAGGCAGAGACAGACCATGAGGTTCTACGGAAACAAAGTGTCCCAGAGTCCCTCCCTGTGGTGATCTGCCCCAAAACAGGGCCAGCTCTGCTTGGGACTAAGACAAATGTGGCCAGGAGATCTCAGGCAGAGTAAAAAGCAAATAGGCCCCAGAGAACTGAGAGGAAGAGGGGATCTGCATGTGTCAGAGTAAGGTACCATGGGGTGACCCCAGGGTCCTAGCAGGTAGAAGCCTCCACAGCAGCTCCACCGAGCAGCCAGCATGGCCACTCTGAGCAGTCTGGAGCTGCCTTGGAGGGGAGATAGGCGGGGTGATGGATCTGCACCTCTCAACCTGTGGTCATGCTCCTGGCGTATCTGCTCCCGGATCAGCCTCTGCTGTTCCTCCAGCTGCCGGGAACCCTCTTCTCTCAGGCGTTCGATCTGCAGAGCAGGGGGTGGGGGTGATAATTCTGTGCAGGTCCAATTCCAGGCTGGCTCACCTTGTAAAAAGTCCCTGGGAGCTTCCACCTGCAAGCTAGGGCTCAGCAACCTGTGGGTGGGACAGAGCACCCAGCTCCCACTGAAGGTGCAAAGAGCATGCCCTCTCCAGCCATGGCGACCACCAAGTTCATCCTCCCCGCCTCCTCCTGCAGGTGGCCCTCTGGCCAGTGTGCCTGAGTGCTCACCTCTTGCTCTAGTGTCCTGGTGCTCCGGCTCTCCTCTTCCTCCTCACTCTCCTGGGCCTGGGCCTGCCGCTCCCGGGCCTCCAGGTCTAGGCACAAGGGTTGAATGACCAAACTGCTGGTCTGTTCAGTTTCCACGTGGCCTCGGCCCACCTCAGCTCTGGCTGCCTCCCCAAAGTCTCAATCACGATGAGACCATACAGTAACTCTGCCCCCTCCCTCCATGCCCAAGTCCCCGAGTCAATTTCCATTGAGAAAAATCACAGCACAGAAGGATGGGGTGTAGCAGAGTGGCCAGGGGTCTGGAAGAGTTAAAAACAGCTCACACTGACCAAGCTGGTTCTCTCTAGTGAACAGGGTGTAGGTGGTGCTTATGTCAGCAGCCCAGGGCCATGTGTCAGCCCAGGGCCATGTGTCAGGGGTGCCAATGGGCGGAGCTGTTGGGTTTGATTCCTGTGGTTCGGCACTACAGCTTGACCTTTGGCTTTGATTCTTTTCACACACTGAGCTCAAGTTCTCACTGTCCCCTTTAGCTCCCACCTCAGCTCACATTTACCAAGCCTCACTGTGGACCTGGCTACAGGGATGGGCAGAGCATTAGGGCATCACCCCGGGTCCCAGACTATGTGAGCTCATTACCTTCCAAGGGAAACCTGCTTGCAACCATGTGCCAGGCCAGCTGCTGTGAGAAACCCTTCTCTTAGGCCAGGGAAGTTTGTGCACTTTACTTACTTAGAATCTCCTTTTCTCTCTCTCTTTTTTTTTTTTTTTGAGATGGAGTCTCCCAGCACCTGCCTTTTTTTTTTTAATAGAGAAATGGATATTGGGATGCTATATGCACACATTAAAATATACAGATGTTGAAGAGCAAGAGGAAAAGGAGAAAACTTAAGTAAAGAATGCTTGGACTGGGCCAGGCACAGTGGCTCACACCTGTAAT